ACTGTGCCAGGCTGCTCCAGCCCCAGTGCCCAGCCTGGCCTTGGGCACTGCAGGGATCAGGGGCAGCCCCAGCTGCTCTGGCAATGCCAGCCCAGGCAGGAATTGCTCATTGTCAAGATGCCATCCATGGCTGCCCTCTGGCAGTGGGAGCCATTCCCTGGGTGCTGTCCCTGCAGGCCTTGTCCCCAGTCCCCCTGCAGGCCCTGCCAGGGGCTCTCAGCTCTCCCTGGATCCTTCTCCTCTCCAGGCTGGGCATTCCCAGCTCTCCTAGCCTGGCTCCACAGGAGCTGAGGGGCTCCAGCCCTGCAGCAGCTCCAGGTCCCTCTGCTGGTGGCCCCAGGGCCGCTTTGCAGGTGGGCTCTCACCTGAGCAAAGGGGTAGAATCCCCCTCCCCTGTGGGATCAGCCCAGCACTGGGGGATTTCTGGCCAGGGCCTGTGAAGTTCCTCATTAAGGGACCAGTTAATTCCCAGTAATGAGGATGAGCTCTGTGATGCTGCTGTGATGCTGGGTGCTCAGTTCTGGTGGCTGCTCCTGGGATTGATGCTGGTATTTAATGCCTTGAGTCATCTGAGAGGGAATTGTGGTGTCCCAGGAGTATTCTGGGATGGAGTCTGAGGGGCTCAGTCCCTGTGTCCCTGTGCCATCCTGGAGCCTGGGCTGCCTTTTTCCCCATGGAAAGGGGTCAGGCCTTGGCAGGGGCTGCCCTGCCCAGCGAGGTTTGGGGTGCCCATCTCTGGAGGTGCCCAAGGCATTCCTGGAGGTGGCACTCGGGGCTGTGGGCTGGGGACAAGGTGGGCACTGGGCACAGCTGGGGCTCCATGGGCTGGGAGGGCTTTTCCAGCCTCAGGGATCCCAGGATTCATGGTGTGCTGGCCAGGAGCCTCCCTAGAACCAGGTTCAGCTGGGAAAAAGTTCCCTCAGAACCTGAGCTCAGGTCCATAATGGCTGGGGAGGGCATGGAGCTCCTCTTTGCCTGTTCCCCTGGGCACTGCTGTGGCTGTGGCAGGAAATGCCCTGTGTGGGTGCCACCCTGTGCCCTCATTGTGGGGCAGGAAAAGGGAGCAGGCTGGGATCTGTCCCCAGAGTTCCCAGGGAGGAGTGGGAACCATGGAGCAGAGCAGCTCAGGCACACAGCAGCACCTCCATTGTGGATGCACTGCCCTGGCATTCCCTGGAGCTGTGGGAGCAGTGCATCCTTCCCAGAGCCAGCAGGGGAGTGGCTGCCTCGGGCCTTTTCCTGTTGGGAATTCCGTTGGGAAAAGCTCCCCTAATGCTCCAAAGGGGGAGATTTGATGTAAAACAAGTTCTCCCATGGCAATAGGGCATGAGTTAAAGATGCACAGACTGGAATGGTTAGGTGGGATATTGGGAAGGAATTCCTGCTGGAGGGGTGCTGAGGGCTGGGATGGAATTCCCAGAGAAGCTGTGGCTGCCCCTGGGTCCCTGGAAATGTCCAAGGCCAGGCTGGATGGGGCTTGGAGCTGCCTGATCCTTGTGACAGCTTTGGTAGGCTCAGCCTAATTATTTTTGTGTCCCAAGCAGATGTTGGTTCCCTGCTGTTCCTCCTGGGATCAGGGATCCTTCTGGGATCACTCCCAAATCCACTGGTTTGGGATCTGCCTGTGCCTTTTCCTCTTTCTGATTTGTGCTGATTCATTTCTTCCCTTTCATCCCGCTGCTGAGTCACCAAAGGGAGGGAGTTTTGCTCTAAAGCTCTCTGGGAATTCCATGCCCAGCCCTTCAGTGGGAATTCAGCTGAGCCATTGATCAGCCTGGCCTCGTCCATCTGTGTTTTCCAGGTGGATTTTCCAGTGGTGGAACAGTTTGCTGGAAAAGCTGATTTGGGGGTTCATGTTCAGCAGGTTCAGTGAAGTGAGATTTTGTTCCCTGGAGCTGGGATAACTGTTACTGGATAACTGGAATTAAAGGTGGAGAGTTCTTGGGTGAATGTGTGGTCCTAGTGTTCTCCAGACTGCTTCCCATACTGGAATTGGAGGGAATTCCCTATGTTTTGGGGTACTTTTTGTTGCTTTGTGTAGCAAAGCTTAAAATTATTTATTCTTATGGAGGAAATAGGGGAGATTTTGTATTAAAACTTGGCAAAAAAAAGAATAAGGTTTAAATTTCCATCAGGAATCTGTGTCTGTCCAGGCTAAAACCCAGCCTGGATGGAAGTGGGAGCTGTTGAGCTGGGCCAGAGCTGCTGGAGTTGGGGTGGCTTTGGGAGTTTGTTCTGGGTGTTACCGGGATGGTGGGAGGATCCCAAAACTCTTTCTGGGAATGTCCCTCCTTCAGCACTTCCATGTGCCCCCACCTAGTAAAAACATTCAGTGTTTTATTTTAGCAGGAATGATCTTAAATGGACCTAAAAAATCGGTAAATCTTGGGAATTTTGTCCTGATTTCCAGGAGACATTGCCTGGGGGGTTCCTGCCCCTCCCTGTTCACTTTTCCTGGCACTGAGTGCACAGAGCATTTTGGAAAGGTTGGAAAATGCTGTGGATGTTTTCTCTGTGCCTGTGCTTGCTGGGGCTCAGGGGGGCCCTTGGTGACACAGATCTGGCTGGGAGCAGCCCTGGGAGAGATCACAGCAACCCAGGATCTGCATACTGCTGGGGCTGTGGGATCAGGGGG